TCGTAAGACGATGGCATTCTTCCTGTACGCGTTACTTGTTAAAATTTTTTGTTTTGTACATGTGAATATTCTGTACGTGTGTATCTCATAAGGCATAGGTATGAATGACACCACAGTTGTCGACAGTTTAACTGTCGCCGGCCAGTCCCCAAGCACGAGCCCGAAAGAATGTGTCCGTGTAGACACTTGTCCAGAGGGAGTTTTACTAGGGTGCTTAATCACTTTAATTGCTTTGCTGCTGATAGCAGCCGTATCTGTATATCGTTGCATTGGATGGGTACAGAGCAGACGAAGAAGCCGCGATGATACCAGAAATAATACCGCTGCCAGTGATAATATCCCTGCCACTGAGAATACTCCTGCCACTGAGAACGCCCCTCCTGTCCCACCCGTGCCTCCAACCACCGAAGTGCTGCGGGCAATGGACGCACATGGGGCAAGCTGGTTGCGCGTGCAGGATGCAGTATACCAAAGCCTATCAGCAGACCGGACCACTGCCGGCCAATCAGAATCTGCTCCGGAACCCGATCATATATATGAAAGCGTCCTGTACGGCGGGGAGGAGGCGCGCCTGCCGCCAACAGTTCAGCAGCCAGCCAATTGCAAGAGGAAGCTGTCGCAGACGGCCAGTCTGCAGGCGCTCCGGCAGATGGACCGAATGGACTACCGACACCGCCGACTGACCACCAGGAAAAGAATCAAGCGACCTACACCCCAATCTGTTCCCAACTGTCAGTGCGCTGTGACAAGGTTGCAGGATCCGGCCACTGCTAATTAATCTGGAACGACTTGAAGCCTTCGTTTGAATTCCATGGTACCGTTCCCTGGTATTGGGCAGCCGTCGTTGGATCCGTTAGTATCGATATATCGTACTGAATGTGCACTGGAGTACTGCCGCTGCCATGCAGCCGCGGGAATGCCCTTTAACAATTGCGCCGCTTGTCTGCGATGCCTGTCCTCATCCTGGATGCCTATACATGTACCGCTTTCTTATTTTTAATTACGGGCTTAATGTACATATACCAGTATAATTAATGCAGTATTACCATTTGATAATTACGTTCATTCGCTACGGTAATCAACCTTAATTAAAAATATTTTAAATACAGATACACCTGTTATAAACTGAAGAAAGTATCCTAGAACTGGTTTTTAACGATTAAATCTAAATTATTCTAAGTAGTGGGGCCGCTGCATATTTTATATGTCTCTGTGATGGCCATGTTATTGCCAAATAAAAAGAAAAATATTGTTAATATACGTGCTTCTGTATACGAGTATATAAAGAATGTCTGTAATCAGTGGAATCCTACGTACTTACAATGTACTACAATAGTATTTTTAGTGCGGTCAGTAATCCCGGCTCTACGGCAAGCAGTTTATTTTATGGTCTACAGAACTATATTATGGCCTTTTGAAACTCAAAAAAACACCTACGTAAGTAAGGCGACAAATTCTGGACCACCTATGTATGAGTCTGATCATCCCTCACAATATCGCTAGCGCTACATCCTCATCGTAGAAACGAGCTTAACAAAGGTCAATAAAGCCGCATGCTGAATACGTACAGCAGAAAACGGTGAAAGCCGAAAGTCAAAGGTCAACTCAAGCATGCACCGATCGACCTTTTACTGTCTAGTAACAATCAAAAACAACCTGCTGCCGCTGCGTCTGTAGTAGACACACTGCACAGTCGGTCCCGGTCATGTTGTTACGTGCTCGTTAATTAATTATTACATCGTGTCATAAGTCCGAAATGCAACGTCGGACTGGGTTTTTAAATTCAGCTGTCCCGTCATTCGCGCTGCGGCAATTCCGCTCGTCGGCCACCTCATACAAAACTATATATTACAATAATTATCTGCTTAGTTATTATCTGTAATCTGTGCAGCTGCACAGCTGCACAGATGGTGGCTGCAGCCACCATCACCATGAAAACCGCATCAGTGGACTGTGAGCACCGAAAGGTCGCCTCTGCATTAATAAATCTTCGTAAGAATTTAACTGTAACTCTCTTTTTGTACAATTACTGACATGCCTGCAAATGAAATAATTTAAGGAATTTGCTAAATTTTGAAGATTGCTGATATTGTACAGTACATTTGCCAAACGCAAAAGCTTTCCAGATTACAGAAATTTTCTGGATTAAAAATTGTGTAACCTAATAAACATTAATCGCATCAGTAAATTGTTAAACTGAATATTATCTTATCAGCAGCACTTTATTATTTTATCAATAGCATTTTATCAATAGTGTACGTAGAAGTTAGAACGGATGGTACTCCGTTCTTTATAGGTACCCAATTTACTTGTTACAAGTATTTATTGGTCTTAGAACACAACTATGGTTTGTAGGCGCCCTTTTACAATTTAGGTTGGTTACCCGGTACACAGCATTAAAATCACGTACATTTACGGGAACGTTCGCTTTCCCGCACTTCCAGTTGGAAGTGGGCGAAAGCGAACGTAATGCGAACATAAGTCAAAAAGCAATCTAAGCAAGTGCTGCTTTTTGACATTAGGTAGCCAAACAATTTGTATACGTACATAGGTGTAAAATCAGTTTTCGCGCGCAACATCCGGTTAATTGTGGAGCAATGAGCTAGGGTAACAAAATCTCAAAAAGTCTAAACGCAGTCCGGTGTATACCAAAATTCTCATTATGGACCGCTGACCGCTCTCTTCCAAATTTTGCAGGTAAATGCACACGGCCATGAAAATCGTTTTCACACCGATATATTCCAGACATCCATTATTTTTTTTAAATTTTTAAATTATTCTTAGATTATTTGAAAATCATTTTATAATTGGAAAAACATGCCAGAACAGTGGATTCGTTCTTCATGGTTAAGTGCATGCAAATTCGATTTGAGAGTAAATTTGAGAGTGAATGGTTCATGATGAGACTTTTAGTACTAGTACTTAAAATACATGTATATATATATATGCATTTAAACTTTTTTGAATCTTGTCGCTCTCACAACTCGGCAGCCGGAAAACGCATTTTACGCCTATGTACGAGTATACAAATCATTTGGCTACAGAATGCAAAAAAGACAGAAGAAAAAGGGATTTGGAAGTGCGCGAAAGTTAAGGACTTCGTGCATGTACATGAATTTGGCACCATGTACCGGGTCATTTCCGTGAAGGGACGTGACCCGGGCCGGTGCATGGCACCAGAAAAAGTTTTCAGCAACGAAATAATAATTCGCATATATACGATCGTAATAATAATTATTATGGTATAGCTATCAGAAATCGGGGTAAATAGGGGCGCTTTTAATGACTTCCCTTTATAAATCTGTCGAATTGAAAAAATTTTGCAACCGAATGACAAAATTGACAACAAATTAAAAGACTGAATGTAATTTTATCTTTTCATAATACCAGTTTTATAAAATTGCTGAATACATTAACAATTTATAAAAATTTATAAATTGAAAGTAATTTTATCACTTACACAGTATACGTTACAATTTTCTAAATCTGCCGAATTAATGCGAAACCAATACAAGGAAATTATTGCATATATTTTTTAATTTTCTCGTGATATGCTTTTCGCTTTTATAGCGCGAAATATGTAGTTTCACTGTCAAGTTGCTAACTTAGCGTCCAGCTGATCGTATTTTTATGCGTAAAGTCCATGTTGTGTTTATAGTGACCTTGATCGGTCGGTGGTGGTGAAATGATCAATGTTATGGCATAAAATAATCTGACGATCTCCCTTTCCCCAGGTTGAGCGGTTCGACCGTGGATGAATGATTTTATTGTCCATGTGCCATTAATGGCAGCGCTGCCAGTTGTGGGTACAAGGGCCTCTCGCACCTGCCAGCCTGCGCATTACTTCCGCTTCCGACAAATCGGCCTTTCGAGATGGCTGAGGAAGGATGAAGACTTCCGGCGAATGATTTCCGGTCGGCCCGAGTTCGTCCCTGGAAGTTGGGGATGTTGCAAGGAAAACGCGGGGATGCGTGTGTTATCTACAGCACACTTGGTACACGTAGGGTGATGGTCGGTTACGGTTTTTCTTAGCTGATCACTTCCGGTTCGCTTGCATCCTCTAAATTTGCATTAAAAGTCTGCATGGCTGCGCATTGTTAATTGTGGTAAGTAATGACTGCATTATTGTGGCTTTATAATCATGCAGTCACCGTTATAATCTGCCAAGTGCAAGTAAATGCGCTCGTTATATGATTTGATACGTAATTGTAGGACAATGTTTTTCCGCTTAATTTCAGAATATTTAGACGGGAATAAGAATAATCAGAAGGCCGTGCAGCTGTCTTCTAAATGATAACTTTAACTTCTAGTCACCTGCAATCTTCAGTGGTATAAAAATTAATCAATAAGGAATTCTGCAATAATTACTATTAATTAAATTTGAAATTGCTGACATAACAGTTACCACTTAACTGCTTAATAAAAATTTATATTAAATGGCAAAAGTCATTAGGCAAAAGTTTGCTGCACGACACAATTAAGTTCTGCAGTCATAATAATTTCAGATTTAGTAATTGTACGTAATGATGAATAAATTTTATTCGCATGCGCGAGTACTTAAAAAAAAACATTTGAATTAACTGCAGTCTGTATAGGCGGATGCGAATCTCCAAGTAAGGTGCGCGCACCGAATTTTGATGTTGATGCGATGGTCCATTGATGGAGAACGCAGTCGATACGTGAATCTGTATGTAATCTCGACGCAGCAGCGCGCTGGGCCCTGGTTATTTTAGTGGTTAGCCATCCAGAAGCAGATTTAACACACACGCCAATGCGAACCGGATATCACGCATTTAATACCACGCTATGCGCGCGATCAAGTCATATATGGCGCTGTTGTATTCCCTGGCCGCGTCGGCCCGCCCCCGCTGCCGGCCGGCAGCCAATAGCCGGCTCGGCTTCTTTTCATGGTCAACTCGCAGACAGGCGCATCCGGCTTATATGCAGCTATGCAGCGAGAGAGAGAGAGAGAGAGAGAGAGAGAGAGTGGCTCAACTTGTACGAGCGTTCGAATGCGCCGCGTTGTACTGACGCTAAACACGTCTGAGCGTGAATAGATCGGCGTTTGCAGCTCAGTCTCATCTTCTCTCGGTCAGCAGCAGCAGCCAGTCAGCCAGTGCATTTTTGCAACGTTCCAACGCGCAGCGCAGCTCTTGGATAATTCCGCGTCCAGGCCTCACCCGTGGTGACTCCTTACTCCTTTTTCCATTAATTCGTGGGTAAGTCAACTCTCCAACTGTATCTAGCGTAAAAACAGGATAAAATGCACGAGAATGGAGAAAAAGGCAGCGGGGACCGCGGTAGACGCGCGCGACCCACTTTTTTATCGATTTTTTTTTCAAAATTATTTCCCACCCGATTCTGACCTTCATGGGGCGGTTATTGTATACCACTGTGTAGGGCGATGATTCCTGTATTATTGTGCAGCGTTTGAGGCGGCAGCGGTTGTAATGGTGAGCCAGCAATTATATCAATGAGACGCGATATCGAGTGTGTTTGCGTCTGTCAACGCTCTCTGCCAATGCGTTGCGCGCTGAGCGGCCATTGTGCAAACTGTGTCAGCGCAGCGATATTCGGCGTATTACCCATGCAGAGGGGCGTTTCCGCATTCCATTATTGACGCGGAAAATGCAGGGCCGCGCTGCTGCATGCAGCAAGCGTCAACTAGTGTACTTATTATTTTTTTCACCATTTTTTGGGGGCTGCAAAAAATTGGGGCGCTTTACTGGCTTCGTTATTCAAGCGGAAATTATGAAATAATTATTAAATAATTATTGCTCAGCTTTACGTGGCCATGCAGTGAATCTTGCATGAATTATTAAGCTGTCTTGGAAACTAAATCGTGATAAATTTTATTTTCATAATTCCAGCTCTGATTTTCACTATTTTTATTTATTATAAATGCTATAAATCGTGATAATATTAATTTGGTAAATTATTCCCCTTAGTTTTCACGTCATTTTTATTTTATTTTAAACCTCAAATCGAAGAATAAAATGCCCTAATTAAAGTAACTGTAAAAGTTAGAAAAACATTCTTAATATGAATATTGTTAAGGGAAGAATTTTTTAATCTGTGTTTCAAAAAATTATGGTATTAATTGAATTATTTTGAGCTTCGAGAAGGCAGCAACATGATAGAAATAGTTGGATAAAATTCTTCGGAGTTCGGAAACTGCAAGCGGTATAAAAATTATTTATCTAAAATTGCCCATCATAAAATCGAGCGCAACTGAGCTGTTTATGTCTTGCACAAAGCCAAGCGCCGGGTTATTCGTTTAACGAGCGGTTCTGAAAATTGTCTGTGGCAGCGTTTGAGTGTTTTCGCGGCGGAGATAGGCAGGAGCGATTTATTTGGCCGCCGGTGGCTGTCTGCGCGGCGAAACTCAAAAGAAAACGCGTAGGCCGATTGTGTGTGAACCGGTTCCGTCAAAGGAAAACACCGGCAATATTGATGCCGATCGGCGTCAATTAGATTGATCCGTTTAATCAGACCGATTTTTCTAATGAAAAGGGAAAATAATCATCTGCCTGTTGGGATATTGCATCGGGCCATGTATGGCGTGATTTATCGCGTCTCTGTCGGCGATCACGAGCGCCGCGGCAAAATCGCCTTTTTTGGCAGTGCCGATGTGGCGCTGCAGTCAGTCGGTTTGATTTCGTGTGTGTGCGTGTAGTGAGTGAGGTCATTGGTGTGTTGCATGCGTAATGCGCAAATAATGCAAACGAGCGTCGCTCCTGACCGCCCGTCTTCGTCGCCGGATGTTGGCGCGAACAGCGCCATGTAAGGCAGTGCACGGCGTAGTGGCGGCTAATTTTAGACCCGGCCGGCGTCCCATTGACGCTGCAGCTGCCTCCGCTGTGAAAATTGAAAATAGACGCACAGCAATCGCGAGTATTTTGGGCGGCAGCGTTTGCGCGGTTTTTGCACGTGCAAATTAGGCCATGAATCGATAGTGGTGTTACGCAAGCCGCAAGTGCTGCTGATTGACAGAACAGTAGATTTTTATTACTTAAATTAGAATTTTATTAATCGGCAAGTAATTCCCCCCGCAGATATTATTTTAATTCTCTTTTCTAATTTGTTGAAATCTTATTTGATAGTTGGGAATTTCTCTTCTTAGCTTTTATTTCAGTAGTCTTTTATTTTCTAATTTTTTGAACGTTTTTTTATGGGCAGATAATTATTAATTCCGCATCTCAGCTCGTATTTTCATTATTTTTTTAATTTTTTTTCATCGGCGGTTTATTCTCGCCTTAGCTTTGATTTTATTATTCGTTTGTTTTTTTTAAAATTATTGTTCGATCGTGTAGATAATTCTTCAGATTTGTGAGATTTTATTTTATTAGTCTGTTTATTTTTTAGTTTTATTATTTTGATCGACAGATGATCCAGTTCCGCTATTATTAGCATTTTTTTAAATTTTTCCTTTTTTTTTCCCGGCAGGTAATTCCTCCTCTTAGTCAGCGAGAATGTGTGACGACGAAGTGGCCGCTTTGGTGGTGGACAACGGATCCGGCATGTGCAAGGCCGGATTCGCCGGCGACGACGCCCCGCGCGCCGTCTTCCCGTCCATCGTGGGACGCCCGCGTCACCAGGGTGTCATGGTGGGCATGGGCCAGAAGGACAGCTACGTGGGCGACGAGGCGCAGTCCAAGCGCGGCATCCTGACCCTCAAGTACCCCATCGAGCACGGCATCGTCACCAACTGGGACGACATGGAGAAGATCTGGCATCACACCTTCTACAACGAACTCCGCGTCGCCCCCGAGGAACACCCCGTCCTCCTCACCGAGGCCCCGCTCAACCCCAAGGCTAACCGTGAAAAAATGACCCAGGTATGGCGCCGTTTATTCCCCTAACTAAACCCGCCTTGACGTGTGTAAAAAATTGGGAAATTAATTTTTTAATTGCAATAAATTTTAATAAAATCCTTT